ATTGTACAAAACATTTTGAAGCTATCAGAATAACTGTCATAAAGTGCTATAATGGAAAATGATATGCTAACTTTTGCAATGTATTGATAATTAGACTGATATTCTATAGTGTGTAACAGTTGTATTAAATTTTATTAATTTCCAACTCTAAATTACTTTTACATTGTGAGTAACATTTATTATTAAAAGGGACTAGAGGCTAAAATATGGTATTTTTCTAAAAAAATTGTAGGGTTCTAAGAAATCATTAAAGTTTTCAGGAATATTTACTATATAGAATACATGACATTAACTTCCTGAAATCTTAAACAATATTGACAATTCAAAGATTTTGAAATGTCATTTATTTATTTCATACAAAGAAGTTGGTAAATGAGTGAACAGGAAAGATACAAAAGTAAAAAAAAAAATGATAAGAATCTTTTAGGGGGCAACTGTTGGCTCAAACTTCCAGAAGGATTTTAACTGTAATAAATCAGAAAATGGAATTTAATACTTGAATAATTGAGCTCCTCACAGAATGGAATCTGAAATTAATTCTGTCTTTGAAACCTACAGAAGTTATATAGAGTGTACTAATTTTGCTTACAAATCTAAAACTGGAATAAAAACATATAAGATACAATGTAAAACCCCTAACATTCAACCTGCCTTTTGTAAGCTCTCAAAGTAAGTTATTTTAATTATTGTTCTGACAAACTGACAGTTATTTCTGATTCATGTCAGTTAGACCATATAACATAGTTCCTTAGACAGGAGTCTCTATATCACTGTTTTGTATATTTTTGACTATGTTTAGATCAAACTTCAAAATAAACTGTTCTGTGTCACAATGCTTATGGGATTTCAGATAACACGGTATTGATTTAAAACCCAATTATCCTTGTATATATGCACTTGAGTAATTCTTCACAGTAAAAAACTTGAATATTTAAGATAACCTATAATATATTTCATTTTTATTTTATTTTCCCATACTGAATTATTCAATAAAGATACCAAAGTGCTCTGTAATTTGATTGCATAGCAATTGTTGCATCATATAGAGCATGTGTGATCTATGAAGTGAGTTGGTAGAGAGACAGGAAAGTAGGAACACATACCTTCTCTTGGCCAAAGAGTGGAATATCCTCTAGTGGGAGACCTGGTTACTCTTGGATACAAACAAACAACATCTGTGGTTTACACAGACTCTCCTGTGAAGGTGCACAGTGAAGCCACACTGGAAAAAGTAGATTTCTTGTCAAAGTGTCTCTTAAAACTTGAACAGGAAATCCTAGCTATTGTGAATGCAGTTTCTCTTCACGCACCTCCTGAGCAGAGGAGACTGAACTTGTAGTGTGTCATTTAGTTTGTCCATTGACAAATGCTTCCAAGAAATTGTGTTCCTATTCTAAAAGATACAAGGGGACAAAAGACTTAACAATATCTGTTGTCAAATTGCTTCCATCTAAACCACAAATACAAAAACTTTAATTGTCTATTGGATGTTTCACTGCTAGATATGGTTGCTGAGTCTTGGCATTACGTATTGTTTTCTTATACTCTCATATATCAATTCTATTTTATGGAAACATTCTAAAGCCATAATCCCCTAACTAATAAATATTAAAAAAAGATGTCACTAATTTTCTGAAGAATTGCATTTTCAACTTTATTACAATATCCCCTTGATCACCAGCTCCTAAGCTGTTCTCTATTTCTCTGCAGTCAGTTTTGCAATTTGTAACAGTTGTTTAGATTTCCACTGATAAAAATTGTCTCTTGACATGATAAATTTTTCAAAACTATTGAATTATATCACCATTCCCTGACTGAAATATTAAACAATTTCTCATTATAGTTTTTTATTAATCCATGTCCTAATCATAACATAATCAACAGGGGTGATTATTTACAAAATGTCTGTACTTTTATAGGAATATTTCTTGTAAATATAACAGTAGTCCAACCCTGACTATTATGGGAAAAAAGAGTTGACTTTTTAAAAATATCATTTAACCAAAATTTGGTGGACAGAAAAAGTAGGTTTTTAAAGGACAAAGTCGCACTAGCCATTATTAAATGTGAAACATTCTAGCTTCAAAGAAAATTCTGTAAGAGGGTTCACCTAAAATAGAAGTAACCATAAAAAATGAAATCCTTGCATGATTTTGAATACAGTGATAAGTCTATTTATTTTATGAGTCAAAGAGATGATCAAAATATATGTTCACAACATCATATGAATTCAAAGGAAAATATGAAAGTAATGTTCTATCTTTGGATTCAAATTGCCTTAAATGCATATATATCACTCAAATTGAAAGGGCAGAAATCTGATCATACATCCAAGAAACTGAAAATGGCAAAGCAAAAAATAAGTAAAATTTGTCTGAAACAATAGAAGAAAAAATAAATAACAATAACAAATGACAAAGAACAAAACTGATAAGGAGCATGAACAGAGCACATGTATTCTCATTGTAAAAAAAAATAACAATTACTCTATTGAAGAAAACAATTGAGAACCTAAGTCTTTTGTACATAGATTATGCATGAGAAACCATTATGCAAAAAACCATGCATGATTTTTGTTTTCCTTAAAAGATTTATTTTATTTATTTATTCATACAAATAAAAGGTTGTTGGCTAGAGGTGCCCTGGGTAAGACGATTCCCAGAGACAGAGTGGGGAGCAAAAAAGTAAGACCACTGAAATACACTGCTGAGTGAAGGAACAGCCAAGAGAGGAGAGGTCTGCTGCTCCAAGTGGGTTTGCCCCTGGCCTGGGATCTAACTCATCTGTAGTGGGTGGGGATTGTCTGACAGCACTGCGACTAACCCCTGCAACATGAGGGAGCTCCCCCATTATGGTTTTTAGTAAGCATACCAGACAATAAGCCAATATTATGAATATATTTTATGCCTATATGAAATAGAAAATTTGTAGAAAAAGCGATCACCAAAAAGTTGTACAGCAAACACTTCTACCTGAAGAAACTGCATATGTTTTAGAGCTACTGAGTTTTAACATAAAACTCCCCTAAAACAGGTTTACATAGTCAGATGACATCGGCAGTGAAGTAACACTTAAATACTAATGTATTCCAGGTAGTAGACAAACAGGAATCCTTACTAACGTAGCCTTGATTCAAAAATTGTCTAATGTATACCTGTGAATTAAAATTTAGGCTAAACTTTTTGTGAATAAGAAAGAAAAATGTGCTGATCTAAATCAAATATATACATGGATAAAGAACACACAGAATGATTGCTATAGTTTTATTGCAAAAATGCAAGATGATCTAGATACTTGAAAGAAATAAAGATAATTTACTTCATAAACATTTTACAAAGAAACATTTCTCATTTCAATTGATGCAAAATGAATAAAAACATAATACCAAAAATGAGAATGTGATGGCATGACATTAATTGGACAGTGATGAAGAAAAAGTAACAATAAACTTCATATATAAGAATGAATATTGAAATATTTTTCCCTAAAATGGGAATACGTAGAGATCAATCATAGTAACTACTATTCAGTAACGGAAATAAAGCTCTGGCCTGTAAAAAGCCAACTAAAAAAGTAATTACACTTGGAATGAAGAAAAAGTGTGATTATTTATAAGAAATAACTATTTACATCAAAATTCATACTTCATATATTCTTATACTAGTCATATATTGTTTGATAGAATTAATATATAAAGTCAGCAAAAACATTGCATATAAATTCAATACCAACTTCAGTTGTATTGCTTTTTACAACACCAAAAATTGCTAACAGATATTCCAGACTTTTGTAAATAAAGTATATTAACATCGTTTCTCTATGTCTTTTGTAAAAACAAGGCATAATGAGAAAAAAATCAAATCTAAGGAAGAATTAAGATTGATGTAGATTGAAAAAATAAATACGGTAAAGATGACTAAACTCCAAATTACTTTAAAGATTAAATGCTCTCAAATGTCATCACAGAATTTTTTTTAAAAACAACTTTATTGAGAAATAATTTATAAAGCATAAAGTTGAGCCATGCAAAGTGAATAAATCAAAGACATTTAACATGTTCAGAGTTTGCAAACATCATTATTCTTAGCACTAAAAATGGTCTATCACTTCAAAAAGAAACAGAGAGCTAATCATTGGCCAGTTCCTCATTCCACCTCCCCTCAGACCCCGGGAACCCCCAATCCACATGCTGTATGAAAGTGAATTTGCCATCACTTATAACTGGACTCACACAACAAATTATTTTTTTAAAGATTTATTTAAAGGTTTACTTATTTATTTATTTGTTCATTATTTATTTATTTATTTATTTATTTATTTATTTATTTATGCAAGCACTGGGTACAGTCAGAAGCATGGGAGGGTGAGAAAATTCACCAGAGCCAGAGGGGAGAGCAGAACAGGCAGACTGATGAAGTACACTGCTGAGGGGAGCAGCGGGCGGCAGGAGAGGTCTGCGTGCCATGTGGGACCCTCACCCTGTGGCCAGGGATCCAACCGGTGCTGCAAAGGTTGCCGGCAGCTTCGCAACCCAGCGCACAACCTCTGCGCCACCAGGGAAGCCCAACAAATGATTTTTTTAAAGACTTATTTATTTATGCATAAAAGAACTGGGGTGTAGGCCAGAGTTGCAGGAGGTGAGGGGATTCATCAGAGATGGAGTGGGGAGCAGTACAGTCAGATCTAGTGAAATGCACTGCTAAGGTGAGCAACGAGCATGACAGGAGAGGTCTGCTGTGCCATGTGGTTTTTCCCTGGTCCATGGGGATTCAACTCACGCTGCAGTGGCTGGTGATAGCTTGATAGCATTGTTTTTAACCCCTGTGCCACCAGGGAGGCCCACAAATGATCTTTTTGAAGATTGAACACCGCAAAAAATTTCAGGCACTAAAGTAATGTGATCTGTACTATGGCTGAACATAGTGTATTTCAATAATTATTTTGAAAAAATGCCATTAGAACAAAAAAAATATTATGAATAATAAGAATTATTTCTTGAATGGAAAATTATGCAAACAAATCCAAACTTAGATTTTTTATTTTAATTTAAATCTTATGCTTACAATAATACATCTTTAGAACTTCACAATTATCTGCATAATATTTAGATTGTAGCATAACACAGTGGTAGTTAGAAGATGCTGGCTTTCTTATCCTGTAATACAGAAAAAGACATAATTCTGTTGTTATATAATGTTGGGGCAAACCAAGAAACAATAGCATTGCTCTTCATTTCAATACAAGCATACTTTGAAAGTGAATGAAGACAATTTTTATAGAATATTTGTAAGAGTTATCAGTTAGACAAACTGAACTGTCCTTTCTTCAATAGTTATCAAGATTCTCAAGATTCCACTCGCATTCAACACCATTCTTCATGTCTATAATTTAAATCAAAAGCACTAATATCATTATTCTTTTAATCCTTTTCATATCTTTCTTCTCTTAAGTTCTATAATGTTGGGGCAAATCAAGAAACAATCACATTTTTTAATGCTACTATAACATTATTTAAATAAAACTTACTCTAAATGGGAAGTTGACCCATTTACAAATATCCATGGCTCATTGCTGCTGTTACGGTAGACTCCAATCCATGAAAACACTGATATGGAGTTCATCAATTTCTATTCAAACATAAAGATTTTTTACTTACATAGGAATAATGAAAGCCTTCATTTAAAAAAAAAAAAACACACAAGTAATGTGATCTTTCAAATTATTCTACATTTTCAGAAGGAAGAGACAGATTCCAATCTCACACCAATACACACAGTATGCTGACTGCTGTGGACATGAAGCCAAAACTCTCACCAGTACATGAGCTCCTTAACATTTATACTTAGGAACTTCATTCTTGTCATGTGAATAAGGAAGATCTTACGTAGGCCTGAGGCCTGTCAGCACCAACCTACAACAGGAGGAGGCTCAGGGCAACCATTCCTCCCCTGAGCTGAGGGATCCTGTGCAGCAACAGCAGGGCAGCCTGACAAGAGTGATGCCTCATGGCAGTGACAACAGTCAGCAGCCTGGACACGCTAAACCTCCCACCACAGAGGAACACAAAAGCAAGGCTGGGAAGGTGGAGATGGGACAACTAAGGGGTTCCTATGACTGAAAATACTGAACCCTGAAAGTTTCTTTATTCTGAGAAGATGACACTCACTTTGGGCACCTGACACATTAAGCAGAATGGATTTTAAAATGTAATATGATAAAATTCTGCAGTGAAAAATAGCAAACAGTAGATAAATGCAATATGCAGAGGAATTATTGAGGAATTATAGGGGAGTGTTTGCATTTCAGTTCATAAACAAGAAAAAAGATCTATGAAATTGAAAGTCAAGTCAGTGGCTAAATAGACAGCAGGAGTGAAGAGAGAGCAGATAGGGAGTCTGGGGTGCCCGGGGGCTGGGACTTCTACACAGGATCTGCTCTGCAGACACAATTTTCATTCACTTGGTGATTAATCTGCCTGATCATAATATGCTTGTCTTTCTTGATGTGTATTAAACAGCAAACTTTATTTGGCACACACACACACACATATATATATACATATATAGGAAAAATGATTCTCTAAGAAAGCCAGCCAAGAAGTGGTTTTTAAAATGTGCATTTACCAAAGATTTTATAAAATCCTCAATATCAGACAATGGAATATTACACAAACTTTAATTTTAGTATATGTGCTGCCGAAGCAAACACTATTACACAAACTTTAAAATAAACTACACATTTGTCCAAAAATCTATGAGTTCTACACATATAAAATTGAGTGAAATAAGTCTTCAATAATGTGGTTGGAACAATGAATTTCTTACCATTTCTTCCTCAGTGTCTATGTAGAGCAGCTGAGAGTTGTTACTCTGACAGGCCGACACGCTCTCCTTCCAGGTTTTTTGTTCAGCACTAAAGTAGTAGCAGTTGTTGGAGTACTTAAACCACCCCTTTGGACAAGGGCCACAATGACATGCTGAAGGGAAATTATGAGTAATTACCTAAAACTATTTGGTTTAATAGAATAAGACATATCATATACATGCCGAAATATGAAGAATCGTGCACATAACACATGCACACACCTCATGGCTGACACATACAACACACACTCACAGAGAAAGGTCATCTTCTCATGCTATAATTTATGTGTCCATATGAACTAATGTCACACAAAAATATCCACCTAAATGTCCTGACAAAGAGTAAATGATGTCATTTTTTAATATTAAAATTATTTATACATATAATAGCAGCAGGACATGAGCCAACTGGCCACAAGGGTTTGAAAGTTCTAAGTTAATTTTCTTTAACCTACCTAGACTGTATGAAACTGGGAAGGGGCTGTCCCCCAGCCAGAGCTGAGCTGAAATGCCCTGGCAACCCAGGACCCATCTGACTGCCAGTTGGAGCCCAGAGAGGGATCCAGGCACCACAGGGGCAGACTGCAGGCACAAGGATGTGCCCTCCTGACTCACAATTTTAGAACAGGGATCTCTGTGTCCAGAACCCACTAAGTTAATTTTCTTCTGCTGTTGGATATGATGAACCCCTCCTATTATCCTTATTCATGAACATGTATTATTTGATTTTATAATGTATGTTCTAAGAGAAAATTTATTACCATTGTTACCTAGTCTAACATATATACATAATATAAACTGTGCTAACATTAGACTTTTGGAAATCATTGTGTACCTTTCTGGAGGTTTGTTACTGTAGAGGAATCATTCTTCTCTTGTTCTTCAGTAGATCTAGAAAAAATAAAATAATCCTTATAAAAGTTAAGAGTGTTCTAAGTAAATACTAATCAGTATAATGTTTCTGAGTTAGAAATGTGTTTTGGCAGACTTTAGTAATAACCTACAATGAAGTTGACTTTCCCTGAAAATTAATAAAATAATAAATCTTTGGGGAAAATGTCACAAAAATTTACAGTCAAATATCAACATCTCTTACAGTATGTAGTCACCAAATTTCAAAAATCATTTCAAAGTTTTCAATAGAGTATTTAAGTCTCCTAAAGTGTGACTTTTAATTATGATATCTGAATCTACACAAAATAATCTCCACAAACATTCTGTGTATTTGTACTTTTAAGAAGATGAGACTACCCATCCAACATTTAATTAAACTGATATTAACATATGTTCTTTCCTTAATATTAGGAAATATTTAAAAGCACTGACAGTCATTAAGTGAAAAGTTCCATTACATAATAGTTCATGAATTTACCTACGCGTATAAACCCACACTGGCACAATAATGAATATCAACACAAGGCACTTGAGTCCAAAGATCCCAGCAACGAACTTCGCTGGAGGTGCTGCTAAGCCTGCAGGGAGAGAAACTGGAGACCCTGAGAAAGGACAGATGGTGATAGTTATTCAATTTATACACAACAAAATCTACATGCACAGGGAGTCACATTTATAAATTTGGACCTGAGACCTCTATCTCCTACTGGAATCTTTACCCCAGAATATATCATTGTTTTTTTAGTAAAGAAAACACCTAAAATTGTTTGTCAACAATTATAAATAATAACAATACCTGGGGAAAAAATAGCCATCAGTTTTCCTACTAGAATACTATATTCCAATGCCAAATTCTGATCCTCACAAATGAAAAACATGTCAGTTAATACCCTAATCTTTGTGCACCTCCACCCTCTGCATCTCCGAGAACAGTGATGCTGTGTGTCTACTCAGTGTCTTACCTTTGAGGTGACAGGACTTGTCATTCTCCTGAGGATCCCGAGAAGCATTTTGCAGACTTGATTCTGTGTAGGTTACTCCCGGATCCCCTACAGTAGTGGAGCTATACTCTCTTTAGGTTTCACTTGAAGTTTTTTTGAGTCCCTTGCCTGCTTCATCTCTGCATAGGTGACTCTTTGCTGGTTCATCTCTGCTGCTCTGTAAAGTCAGGAACTGCTCTCTGTGATAAATGCTTCTCAGTCTTTAATAAATGGTGCATATGACCAGATCACTGTGGGCGGAGCGTGAGCTGAGTGATAGACTCATATTGCAGTTGAACAACACACATGTCTGCTCTAAAGTCCTAGAGCTCTAACGTAATATCACCAGAGGCGGGTCCCATCACTCCAACATAGAGACAACGGTGGAAACAAATATTACATCAGTGAGAAAATATTTTAAAAACATGAACTCCTAGGAACCTTAAACCTATGTTTCATGATGGAAAAAGTAGTTTTTAAAAGGATATTCCATGCTGACACAATAGTATTGGTTGGAAAATGAAAAGCAAAAAAATTAACCAAAAATGAGAAGTTCATGACCAATATTATCTTTATTAATTTAAAGTCATATTCCACAGCATCATCTTAACATCACTTGTATAACTATATTGAAATCAGAATTGTGGTTTAGAAAAAAAAATTATATCAATTTTCAAAAGTAATGGTTAATGACTGATTTTTCTAATTTGGAGAAACAGCAGTATTAGCATTTCCTACACTAATTATTTTTATTTAGTAATTTGTTATTTATTTAAAGGGAATGGGGTGTTATTCAATATCAGGTTATTTCCTTTCAAAATGAATCTCTCATCATTGTGATATTCTGAGAACTATTTACAATATTAAAGAAATTATGTTAATGACATGCTAAACTTATCCAAAACCTAAACCAATAATGAAAACAAAACCACAAAAAATAATATTTTAAAAATACATAATTTTAAGTAATACAAAAATTGGTAATTGATTTAATAGCTAGATAAAAAAACAATAAGATATGTATATTATTGATTCATTACTTATTGGAACAACATTACTGGTTAAAACTGCCAGAAAGATCCTGTAGCTATCCAAGTTAATGAATGTTGCCTTAGTTGTGCAACTAATTGCAATACATAAAAAATAATAATTTTAGTAATTCAGTCAATAGACTCTGTAATGAGTGGGATCAAGAATTAAATCTGACTTTGATACTATCACATTTTAATTTTATCTGATTAAAAAAGAAAAAGGAAAAATTAAAAAGTTATATAACTTTCAAATTAGTTTTAGTTTACTAATTTAAAACTAGGAATATCTAAGATATAATACCTGTAATACATGATATTAAACCTGATTTTTGCCAGCTGTCAATAATACATTCCTTATTTTAATTATTATTTTGATACAACCACCATCTTTTTCCTGTTTCAAACATTTATACCCTGTAACCTAATTTATTAGACAGAAGTTTGTTTTATTAGCATGGTATTTCTTGTACATTCTTTTTTTATTTTAAGCATTTTTATACTTTTAAATTCAAATTTTTTTTTTTCTTTTTTGTGGGATCCTCACTGGCGGCCGGGGAACTAACCAGCACTGCAGAAGCTGTGGGCAGCCTCACAGCCCAGCACTCAACTGCTGTGCCACCAGGGGAGGCCCAAGATTCATAAATCTTGACATTATGTAATTTTCCCATATACCCTCAGTATTTGATTTATATTGTAATGGGAAAAAATCATGTTTATTCCATTACCAATAGGTGTTTAATGATGTTAGTCACTAATTATTCTAAAAAATCACTACATTTCCAAATTTTCTATTATAGCAAACATCAATACCTAAACTTCTCAACATCTCTTCCCTAGTTCATAAAATTCCTGAATTCAATTTTATTCTTTATACATAAGCAATTTAGATTTCCACTGATAAAAAGAATATTAAACCATATTGTCATTCCAGTGACTGAAATATTACCACCATTCATTCATTCATCCTTCATTTATAATTGTATTTTAACAGGAATAGTTGTTGTAGATGATAAAAACCTAAGTATACTTTACTTATGTAAGGGAATTACAAGGGTAACTTTCAAAAATCTCACTGAACCAAAAATTGGGGGGAGCAGAAAAAAATAGACTTTTAAAACACAAGTTGAAAGCAGATTACAAAATGATCATTATCACAGAATCGCAAAAAAAGACATAAGGAAATACCACCACATACCTGTGAGAGCTCTATATCAAAAAGATCAGAAACAACAAGTGCTGATGAGGATGAAGTCTATGGTCAAACACTATAAAGTCTCAAAAATTACTCAAAATAATAAAAGTATAATGGTAGCTTTTTTTTTTTTTTTTTTTTTTTTTTTTATAGAGGCATGTTTATTTATTTATTTATTTGTTTGTTTGTTCTGTTTACACATGCACTGGGTACAGTCAGAAGCGCGGGAGGGTGAGAGAATTCACCAGAGCCAGAACAGGGAGCAGAGCAGGCAGAAGAACCGAAGTACACTGCTGAGGGGTGCAGCGGGCGGCAGGAGAGGTCTGCGCGCCATGTGGGACCCTCCTCCGGTGGCCGGGGAGCAGCCGGGGATCGAACCGGCACTGCAGAGGCTGAGGGCAGCTTCGCAACCCAGCGCTCAACCGCTGCGCCACCGGGGAGGCCCAATAAAAGTAACTATAATTTACTTTTTATGACATTTATAGAAATAGTCATACAGGGGTCTTTGTGTGTGTATACACATATATACAAACGTATGTATGCATACATAATTTGTGACTTTCTAATTGTGAGAATATTCAGTGATAAGAAAGGTGTATGAATTGGAACTCCATAACAAGCAAAGAATACCATTTTCAGGTTAAGTCTCAGCACTATCACACTATCACACCTTTGGCCTGATTTCATTCCCAGCCAAAGAGCTAACCCACATGGCGCTGCAGACCTCTCCTATCTCCCTGCTGCTCCCCTCAGCAGTGTATTTCAGTAGACCTGTCTGTTTGGCTCCACCACTTTTTCTCTGATGAATCCTCTCACCCACTGTACCTCATAACCATACCCCAGTTCTCCTATGCAAATAAGAGAAATAAAATAAAAAAATTAAAAATATATAAAAAAACTTCTAATGATGAAACACTGTTACACCTGATAACTTGTATATACAAAAAGGATAGAGATAAAATAATTACATGATGAATCTAAATGAATTGAATAAATATAATTTTGATGATGAGCTTTCAAATTACAAATATAACTTTATATTAGAAGTCAAGGATTGAGGGCCTCCCCTGGTGGCACAGCGCTTGAGCACTGGGCTGCAAAGCTTCCCACAGCCTCTGCAGCACTGGTTTGATCCCCGGCCACCGGCGAGGTGGGACAGACCTCACCTGCCACGCCCGTTGCTTCCTTCAGCAGTGTATTTCATCAGTCTGCCTTTTCTGTTCCCCGCTCTGGCTCTGGTGAATTCTCTCACCTTCCCGCACTTCTTACTATACCCAGTGCTTGTATAAATAAATAAATCTTTAAATAAAAAAAAGAAAGAAAATAGAAGTCAAGGATTGAATATGACACAAATAAAAGTAGATATTACATAAGTCTTTTTAATGCTGGAAAGGTACAAATACTAATTTTTTAGATTTTAATGAATGGAGAATATATTCTATAAAATATGATATGTTAACATAAGTTTATTTGAATCCTATTGATTAATATATTCTTATAGAGAGTAAAATACACTTATTGTGATAAAGAAGAAATGAAAATGAAGTTCAAAGAAATTTTAATATTCATCCAGATTAGGTGAAAACTGTATTATACTTACCATTCAATGTATCTCTCTCTTGACACATAATATTTTTACATCACACATAAATTTTGTCTACCCATTCTAACAAAACTAGCATAGCAAGGCATGTTATAACCAAGTTTCTACATACTGTGAGGCTCATTTCCATGGATATTGTGACTAAATCAATGTATTTTTCTATTATGGTTCTTAAAATTGTGTTTTAGAAGGAATTTGAGGGATTTACACTGGAGAAACATACGACATAGAAAACGACAATTTGGTTTTCTGGGCTTCACAATGATGTTATGATGTTAAATTTAGGGGTGTTGAGCAGTTTCACAGAGACAGAGTGGGGAGCAGAACAAGAAGTTCTGCTGAAATACACTGCCAGGGGTGCAGAAGGTGAGACAAAGAGGTCTGCTGTGCCATATAACTCCTTGCCCTGGGTTTAACCCAGGCCATACTGGTAATAGCACTAAGACATAACCCCTAGACTAGCAGGGAGGCCCACATTTCTTTACATTGTTGGGTAAGAAGATACATTCAAGTATAATCATTATTTATGAACATTTATTGTTTGATTTCATAATTTACATTCCCTCCAAAACACACATAACATTTCTTGACAGACTAAAATTTAGATGAAATGTAAACTGCAATAAAATCAAAATTTTAAATATCATTCTTTGCTTTTTTGATTCTTAATATCGAGATGAATTATTGAATTAACATTACAATAACTAGAAAAAGGTAAATTATTCTTTATAAAATTAACATTAACCAAAATACTATAATATTTATGGTTTTATAATTTGAAAATTGGTATATTAGGGTTTGTATAATGTGGAATAAACTTGATTTTATCAAGAAATATTAAAGTAATGAAGATTTGGGTGAAAAAACTTTAAAAAAACCCAAAAGACTAAACTTAATAATCTGCAATATTGGTTTAAAAAATCCAAAGAGGGGCCTCCCCCGTGGCGCAGCGGTTGAGCGCTGTGTTGCGAAGCTGCCCGTAACCTCTGCAGCGCCGGTTCGATCCCTGGCTGCTCCCCAGCCACCGGTGGAGGGTCCCACATGGCGCGCAGACCTCTCCTGCCGCCCGCTGCTCCCCTCAGCAGTGTACTTCTGTCCTTCTGCCTGCTCTGCTCCCCGCTCTGGCTCTGGTGAATTCTCTCATCCTCCCGCGCTTCTGACTGTACCCAGTGCATATATAAACAAACAAACAAACAAACAAATAAATAAAGCATGCCTCTATAAAAATAAATAAATAAATAAATAAATAAATAAATAAATAAATAAATAAATAAATAAAAAATAAAAAAAATCCAAAAATTTAATTTTTAGTTCTCAAAGTGTTCTTTCATATCATGAAGCATGTTATTGAGCAGTGAAATGATTATTTACACATATATATTTATACGTATATACATACATGATACTCTCTTGAATCGTTGTTAGTGTTAATCTTAATAAAAATATAAATTTACTTTGTGGAGAGAGATCACCAAGACGGCAAAAGAACTGGTTCCTTGCTTCACTGTATATAGAAACATCTAAGAGAAAACACTATAGAGAGAGTCCTCTGGTTTGAGTTGAGAATAAAGAGCGTTCTACCTGGAAATTACCCTAGACTACACCAGTAAGGACAAGGGGCTGGGGGGAACTGAACAGGAGATGGATGTGGAGAAAGACCTGGAGGCTGCAGTCCGAGGTGGGGAGATTGATGGCAGAGCCACCAGCTTGGAGAAGAAAGAGTGGGGAAGGAGTAGAAGTACACGGGTGACCTGGGGTGCTCTACACAGGCAGGTCCCCCAGTAAGGTAAACAACAGACAAGGTATTCAGACAGCACTTCCTCTTTCTAGCCTCTTGGGACAGGTATTGAGCTCATGATGTGAAATGACAATAGTCATATTTCAGAGTCTCATATCGGGGACTCCAGAAAGGAAGAATATCAGGTGTGACATAAACATTTGCCCTGTTCCCCAAAATATTTGTGAGTGTTTTCATCCCTCAATTGCAAAAACAGATCACAATAGGTATGGAAGCCAGCAAAGAGCAATTAAATTAAAAAAAAAATTTCAAAAATAAAGTAAAATCAGAGCGCCACCTTTAGAAAAAAAAATTACTTTAACTGTCTAAGTTATTGCTGCATATTTTATTTTAACATAAGTGATTATAAAGTAGCAAAACTGGCAGAGCAAACACTTATGACACATGGCAACCGAGACCTCATGGGTATAATACATCATAATGAAAGAATAACTCTCCAGAATAAAACTACAAAGACATGGAAGACTGTATCTGCCTATCAGATACAGCATTGAAATATGCCATTTAAAGAAACTCAAAGAAGGACCTCCTAGGTGGTTAAGTCTCAGCACCATCACCACTAAAGCCTGAGTTCAATCCCTGCCAAGGAACTAACTCACATGGCACAGCAGACCTCTCCTGCCTCACCCGCTGCTCCCCTTAGTGTATTTCAGTAAGCCCATTGTTCCCCACTCTGTCTAGTGAATCTTCTCACCCCTCACTCCCACATCTCTGGCCTACACCCCAGTTCTTATACACAAAAAGAAAGATAGAAGGAAGGGATAGAGAGAGGGCAGGAGGAAGGAAGAAACTCAGTGAGAAAGAAGAAAACTTAAGGCTGTCAAAGTGATAAAAAAAAAAGCCCACAGAGAAGCTAATGAAGGAGATGAAGAAAAACAAAAACAAATGAATGAGTTAAGAAAAAAAGTTAATGGTAAGAATGTAAAAGTGTATTTTTTATTTAATAGGAAATTTGAAAGAGATCTTTAATTGTTTACCTTGGAACCTCATAGCTGCCACATGCATATTCAAACATCAAGTGCTTTTTCATTGCTAGAATTATATTATTTGTATATATTTAGGTATATTTTATTGTAGTAAGTTTACGTGAACTGTTTATGGGGAAACTGTTGCAGGAAATTTGGAAAATATTGACACATATAGTTTACAACAAAAAGTGAAGAAGAAAAGGAAAATATAAACGTCAGATATTGATCATTAAATCAGTGTGTGATTGCCAATTCAGAGTATGTGGGGAGCAAACGGTAATTTTTTCCATGTTGTCTTAGAAGTCATACATACACACACATAATGGTGTTCTGTAAGAGAGGCCTCATAAAATGAAGGACCAAGTGGCATTAATTACTAATAAATACAACTTTCAGGTTAGTACTTTTAGAACAGAAGACTGGACATGCACAATGTGTCTATCCTGTGTTCTCTTTGGAGCTGACTGCCTTAGAGTCACACACATTCCTCTACAGTGATTTTGAAAACATATTTAGTGATATAGAAATTTTAGAAAGACACCATCTTCACTAAAAGAAGTACTGAAATAAATACTGTTAATTCTCAAGTCCAGAATAAGAACCCACAGTGTTCCACACCCTAGGAACGGGAGTAGAAAGTTAAACACAAAGAAAGCTGCTATTTTGGTCTTTTATCACTGACTTCTCTGTGACTCTACCTATTCTAAACCCACCCATTTTTGGCATCCTCCTAACATCATTCTTCATAATTACATAGTTGAGTTGAGGAACATGTGATCTGACTGAACCTCCCTGTACAAGACATAATACCATGCCCACCAAGAGGGCACACACTTCTCAAGCATAGATCATTGAGTTCCCCTTGACCCCCTGAAATTCCCACCAATTCACCCATGTACCATCACCATAGTCCCTTGTGCACTTCCCACCCATTTTGATCCTACTCCCTTCTCTGCCCCTACAGAATGTCTCTGGTTTATAGATGCTTGTTGATTTTGCTTTTCACTTTATACAATAACTTTTTTTTGATCCTTCATTTGGAAATTCCACATCCCTCCTCTAAGTGAAAACGTCTGATATTTTTTTTTTCCTTCTGGCTTATTTCATCGAGCATGATCCTTCCAGCTGCATCCATTTTGCTTTGAATGGCATGACTATATTTTTTGATTGCTGAGTAATATTCCATTGTGTATATATGACACATCTTCTTGATCCAGTCATGTATTTTCTCTTGAAATTATTTTCAATATTAAATGTTCTCAAACAATGTTTGAGAACAAGATTTTTTAAAAACAGCTTTATTGAAATATATTTTATAAAGCATAAAATTCAGCCATTTAAAGTGAATAAATCAAAGACACTTAGCATATTCAGATTTTGCAAACCTCACTACACTTAGAACTGAAAAAAATGTCCTTCATTTCAAAAAGAAACAGACAACAAATCAGTGGCCAGTTCCTCATCCTACCTCCTCTCAGTCACTGACAACCCTCAATCCACTTTTTTTATGAAAGGAATCTGACATTAGTTATAACTGGACTCCTGAACTCACACACAAATGAACTCAAACAAATGAATAATTGAACTAAAAATGGCAGTTATAAAAGTAATGTTATGTGTATTTTTTTTTGCTGAACATAGTGTATTTCAATAACTGTTTTGAAAAAATGTCATTAGAGCAAAAAAAAAACCCAATATGAATAATACGAATTATTTCTTGAATTGGAAAATTATACAAACAATACCATACTTAGATTTTTATTTTTATTTAAATCTTATGCTTGCAATAATACATCTTTGGAATTTCACAATTATCTGCATAATATACAGATTGTAGCCTGACGCAGTTGTAGTTAGCATATACTGGTTTTCTTATCCTATAATAAAGAAAAAAGTATAATTCTGTTAAATAATGTTGTGGAAAACCAAGAAACAATAGCATTGCTCTTCATTGCAATACAAGCATATTTTGAAAATGGATGAAGACAATTTCCATAGAATATTTGTAAGAGTTATCAGTTAGACAAATTGAGCTGTCCTTTCTTCAATATTTATCAAGATTCCACTCATATTCAACACCATTCTTCAGTCAATAATATAAATCAAAAGCACTAATATCATTCTTCTTATATTCCTTTTCTTATCTTTCTTCTCCTAACTTCTATACTGTTGGGGCAAACCAAGAAACAATAGCATTTTTCATGCTACTATATAACATTATTTAAATAAAACTTACTGTACGTGGAAAGTTGACCCATTTACAAATGTCCATGGCTGATCGCTGCTGTTCCGGTAGACTCCAATCCATGAAAACACTGACATGGATTTCATAAATTTCTATTCAAACATAAAAATATTTTTCACTTACATAGGAATGATGAAAAACTTAATTAAAAACAAAAAGACAAGTAATGTGTTCTTAAAAATATTCTACATTTTCAGAAGGAAGAGACAGATTTCAATCTCACACCAATACACGTAGTATGCTGACAGCCATCGGCATGATGTCAAAACTCTCACGAGTACATGAGCTCCTAAACATTTATACTTCAGGACTTCATTCTTCTTGTCATGTGAATAAAGATAATATTACTTAGGCTTGTGGATGTCAGCACCAACCTACAACAGGAAGAGGCTCTGAGCAGCATCCCTCCCCTGAGGTGAGGGTCCTGTGCAGCAACAGCAGGGCAGCCTGACAAAGGCGATGGCTCAGGACAGTGACAACAGTCAGCAGCCAGGGACACGCTTCACCTCCCACCACCGAGGGACAGATGAGCAGGGCTTGAAGGGTGGAGATGGGACAACTAAGGGAACCCAATGCCTGAAAATACTGAGCCCTGGAAGTTTCTTTATCTCTGAGAAGATGACACTCACTTTGTGCCCCTGACACATTAAACAGAATGGATTTTAAAATGTTATATCATCAGATTCTGCAGTGAAAGTTAGCAAACAGCAGATAAATAAAACATACAGAGGAATTACCGAGGAATTATAGGGGAGTGACATGACAGGAATAAAGTATATACCCTATGTTTGCATTTCAGTTCATAAACAAGAAAAAAAATCTATGAAATTAAAAGTCAAGTCAGTGGCTACATAGACAGCAGGAGCGAAGAGAGAGAGACAGGGTGTCGGGGTGCACTGGGGGCTGGGACTTCTACTCAGGATCTTCTCTGCAGATACAATTTTCATTCACGTGGTGATTAATCTGCCTGGTCACAATATGCTTATCTTTCTTGATGTGTATTGAACAGCAAACTTTTTTAACACACACACACACACACACACACACACACACGAAAAATGTTTCTCTAAGAAAGCCAGAACTGGGTTTTTAAATGTGCATTAACCAGTCAAAGATTTTATAAAATCCTCAATATCAGACAATGGAATGTTACACAAACTTTAAAATAAACGACAAAATTGTCCAGAAAGCTATGAGTTCTACAAATATAAAATTGAGTGAAATAAGTCTTCAATAATGTGGTTGGAACAATCAATTTCTTACCATTTCTTCCTCATTGTCTATGTAGAGCAGCTGAGAGTTGTTACTCTGACAGGCCGTCACGCTCTCCTTCCAGGTTTTTTGTTCCATACTAGAGTAATAGCAGTTGTTGGAGTACATAAACCAGCCCTTTGGACAAGGGCCACAATGACATGCTGAAGGGAAATTATGAATAATTACCTGAAACTATTTGGTTTAATAAAATAAGACATATAATGTGCATGCCAAATATGAACAATCATGTACATAACACATGCACACACCTCACAGCTGGTGCATACAACACACACACACAGAGAAAGGGCAGCTTCTCATGCTATAATTCATGTGTCCATAGGAACCAAACTCACATAAAAAATATTCACGTAAATTCCTGACAAAGAGTAAATAATGTCATTTTTTAATAGTAAAATTGTTTATACATATAATAGCAGCAGGACATGAGCCAACAGTCCACATGGGTTTGGAAGTCCTAAGTTAATTTTCTTGAACCCAACTAGACTGTATGGAACTGGGAAGGGGCTGTCCCCCAGCCAGAGTTGAGTTGAAAAGCCCCCGCAACCCAGGCCCTGTCTGGCTGCCAGTTGGAGCCTAGAGGGCAATCCAGACACAACAGGGGCAGTTTGCTGGCACATGGAAGTGCCCTCCTGACTCGCAATTTTAGAACATGGATCTCTGTGTCCAGAACCCACTAAGTTAATTTTCTTCTGCTGCTGGATATGATGAACCCCCCCCATTATCCTTATTCATGAACATGTATTACTTGATTTTATAATGTATGTTCTAAGAGAAAATATATTACAATTATTACCCAGTCTAACATATACACATAATATAAACCGTGCTAACATTAGACTTTTGGATATCATTGTGTACCTTTCTGGATGTTTGTTACTGCGGAGGAATCATTCCTCTCTTGTTCTTCAGTAGATCTAGAAAAAATAAAATAGTCCTTATAAAAGTTAAGAGTGTTCTAAGTAAATACTAATCAGTATAATATTTCTGAGTTAGAAATGTGTTTTGGTAGACTTTTAGTAATAATCTATAATAAAGTTAACTTTCCCTGAAAATTAATAAAAGAATAAAACTTGGGGAAAATATCACAAAAATTTAGAGTCAAATTTCACCATCTCTTACAGTATATATTAACCAAATTTCAAAAATAATTTCATAGTTTTCAGTCTCCTAAAGTGTGAATTTGAATCTTGATATCTGAATCTACATAAAATAATACAACCAATCATTCTGTATATTTGTACTTTTGAGAAGGTGAGATTAACCATTCAAATTTTAATTAAATACATTAACTAAATTGTTCTATTCCTTAATATTATGAAATAATTAAATCACTGGCAATCATTAAGTGAAAATTTCCATTAAAATCTCATAAATTTACCTACGGGTATAAACCGACATGTGCACAATAATGCCTATCAAGACAAGACAGGTGAGTCCCAAGATCCCAGCAATGCACTTCTCTGGAGGTGCTGCTAAGCCTGTGGGGACAGAAATGGAAACACTGAGAAAGGACAGATGGAGGCAGTTGCTCAGTTTGCATACATCAAAATCTAAATGCACAGGGAGTCACATGTATAAATTTGGACCCCAGACCTCTTTCTTCCACTAAAATCTTTCCCCCAGAATATATCATTGCTTTTTTAGTAAAAAAAAAAAAAAAAAAAAAAAAAAAAAAAACATGAATTTTTGTTTGTCAACAATTATAAATTATAACACTACCTGAAAAAGATAGCCATCAGATCTTTCTAGAATACCATATTCCAATGCCAAATTATCAGCCTCACAAATGAAAAATATGTCAGTTTATTCCCTATTCTTTGTGCACCTCCACCCCTCTGCATCTCCCAGAACAGTTGTGCTGTGTGTCTACTAAATGTTTTACCTCTGAGGTGACAGGACTTGCCATTCTCCTGAGGATCCGGAGCAGCATTGTGAAGACTTAATTCTGCATAGGTTACTCCCTGCTCTGTTCCAGTAGTGGAGATTTTACTCTCCTTAGGTTTCACCTGCGGTCTTTTTGAGACCTGTTTCAGCTTCAGCTCTGCATAGGTGACTCTTTGCTCATTCATCTCTGCTGCTCTGTAAAGTCAGGAACTGCGCTCTGTGATAAATACTTCTCAGTCTTTAATAAATGGTGCATAAGATCAGAGCCCTGTGGGCGGAGTGTGAGTTGAGTGATAGACTCATATCGCAGTTGAACAAACAAGATGTCTGTTCTAAAGTCCTAGAGCACTAAAAGGCGGATCCCATCACTCCAACATACAGACAATCATGTAAACAAATATTACCTCAATGAGAAAATTCAAAAAATATAAACTCCTACTAACGTTAAACATATGTTTCATGACAGAATAAGTAATTTTAAAAAGATATTCCATGCTAACACAATAGTATTGGTTGAAAAAATGAAAAGCAAAAAATTTAATCAAAAATGAGAAGTTCATGACCAATATTATCTTTATTAATTTAAAGTCATATTCCACAGCAGCCTCTTAACATCACTTGTATAACTGTATGAAATGGGAATGGTGGCTTAGAAAAAACTGATGCAGCAGTTTTTATGTCAATTTTTAAAACTAATGGTTAAAGATGGAATTTTCGAATTTGGAAAGTAGCAGTATTAGCATTTCCTACACTAATTTTTATTTAGTGTTTTATTGCTATTTATTATAAGGGGATGAGTTGTTATTAAATTATCTCAAGTTATTTTTCTTTCAAATATGTCTTTCATTTTTGTGATATTCTGAGAAAGTTTTAAAATGTTAAAGAAATTTTGTTAATGTCATGCTAAGCTTGTCCAAAACCTAAACAATAATGAAATCAAAACTACAAAAAAACATAATTTTAAAATCCATAATTTTAAGTAATATGAGAAATTGATTTACTAGCTAGATAAAAACAAAAAAAATGATATGTACATTATTGGTTCATTAATTATTGGAACAACATTATTGGTTAAAATTACTGAAAGATCTTATAACTATCCAAGTTAATCAATGGTGCCTTAGTTGGGCAAGAAATTGTAATAATTAAAAATCATAATTTTAGTGATTCAGTCAATAGACTCTGTAATAAGTAAGATCTAGAATTAGTTCTGACTTTGATACTAAGTATCACATTTTAATATTGACTCAGTAAAAAAGAAAAAGGAAAAAGAAAAGGTTATATAGTCTTTCACCTTAGTTTTAGTTTGCTAATCTAAAATGGAAATAAGAATGTCTAAGATATACTACATGTAAAATATGATACTCAACTTGACTTTTCTAAGCTGTCAATAATACATGACTTATTTTAATTATTATTTTGATACACCTACATGTTTTTTCCATTTCATAGCATTTATGCCATGTAACCTAATTCATTAGACAGGAGTTTGTTTTATTAGTGTGGTTTTCTTGTACAATGCTTTGTCTATTTTTAAGCATTTTGTATACTTTTAAATTCACAATAGCATTTTATGGAAGCTATCTCATCTTGATTTCTGTTAACATTAAAACCTATTATATTAACTCTAAGAATGTAGATGAGGAATTACCTTTGACCTTAATGATGGACTGAATTCATGTAAGAGTCTAATTTTAAAGATGGACCTAAATACAAAAAATATATACAATTATATCTGTATTGGTTATGAATTACAAAAATAAACTCTCCTTGTCGTGATCTGGTGAAATTTCAAGTTAAATGGTATTGATTTACAAATCAAATTATGCACATATGTTATATACTTGTCTAATTCTCTGCTGGAAAGAATTCAATTCCTTTCCTTCTTGTGTTTGACCTGAATTATTCAAATAAAGATACCAATCTTCTCTTTGATTTGATTGCAGATGACCTGAATAATACTTGCCTCACATCTCACCTTCATAAACTTACACTAAAAGACATGGACCAGCACAGAGAGAGGACAGGAGCAACACATACCTTCTGTTGGCGAGGAAATTGTGCATCCTTGAGTGAAGGAGGAGATACCTCCACACTGATTTTCACAGGGACTGGCCCACAGAGCATCCTATCAGCAGTGCAAGAGGGTTCCCTCTTCTCCACATCCTCACCAGCACTTGTTGTTCTGATCTGTGATCTTGAGAACTGCCCTGTGAAGATTCAGAGTGAAGCAAGAGTGGAAAAAAGTAGATTTCTCATGAATGTCTCACTAGCAGTTTGAACAGGAAATTATTACACTTGGGCTATTTTGAGGACAGGTCACCTCATCACACACCTCTAGACTATAGGAGAGGATAGGTTTATAGTTGTCACTTATTTTTCCATTTTCAAATGCCTCTGAAATGTATCAGGGAACAAAGACTTGAACACCCATGCTTGTAACTTGTTTCCATAGCAACCATAAATGCTGAAAACTTAGGCCTTGTTAAGACTGTCTTAGATGTGTAAATTCTACTATAAAGCAAGATTCATAAATCTTGAGGTTATAAACTTTTCACCTATACACTTATTATATCATTTATATTATAATGTGAAAATTAATATTATTATTTCATTACCAATGGGTGTTTAATGATGTTTGTCACTAATTGTTCCCAAAAAATCACTATATTTTCAAATTTTCTAAAACTCTAACAAAAATCAATACCTAAACTTAAATTCTCAATATCTCTTCCGTAGTCTGCAATTCAATTTTATTATTTATAAATAAGCTATATAGATTCCCACTGATGAAAAAACAATATTAAGTCATATCATCATCCAGTGAATGAAATATTACTGTTATTCATTCATTCATCCTCCAATTATAATTATATTTTAATAGGAGTCTTAATGTATTTATGTAAGGGAATTATAAACTTTCAAAAATCTCACTGAACCAAAAATTGGAGAGAGCAGAAAAAAATAGACTTTGAAAACACAGGTTGCAGGCATATGACATAATGACCATTATCACAGAAATGCAAATGGAGACCACAAGGAGATAGCGCCACATACCTGTGAGAGATCTATAACATAAAACAATGAGAAACAAGTGCTGGTGAGAATGAAATCTACGGTCAAACAATATAAAGCCTCAAAAATTACTCAAAATATTAATAGTAACTATAATTTACTCTTTATGATATGTATATATAATAATAGTCATGCAGGGTGTGTGTATGCATACATATATATAGAAACATACGTATGAATATATAATTTGTGTCTTTCTACCTGTGAGAATATCCAGTGACCTAGGAAAGGTGAATGAATTGGAACTCAATAAGAAGCAAAGAATTCCCTTTCAGGTTAAGTCTCAGCACTATCACATTATCACAGCAGTGGCCTGAGTTCCATCACCAGCCATGGAGCTGACCCGCATGGCACAGCAGACCTCTCCGATCTTGCCTGTTCTGCTCCCCACTCTGTCTCAAGTGATCCTCTTGCCACTACTCCTCTGGCCTACACCTCAATTCTTGCATACATAAATATAAAACAATTTTTTAAGTTTTTATTTTTATTTATTTATGTACTTTTTACTGAACATAGTATATTTCAATAATTATTTTCAAAAAAAGTCAGGTGATGGAACTAAATCATAGGTTTTCAGGAAAAATAAATGTGATTTAGTGAGTGCTTATGTGGCCAGAATTGTTCTTCTTACTTTTTTAAAAATGTATTTATATATACAACAACCAGGGTACAGGCAAGAAGTGTGGAAATGTGAGAGGACAGAGTGGAGGACAGGACAAGCAAACTGAACAAAATACACTGCTGAGGGGAGCAGCTGGCAAGACAGAAGAGGTCTGCCACGACACGTGGGTATATCCCTGGCGGCCTGGATGGAACCCCTAGTGCAGGGATTGTGGACAGCTTCACAGTGCTGTGCTAAACTACCTGAAGGGAGGCCCTGCTTTTCTTATCTTTTGTTGTGGGGAGAAGATCAAGGTGAGGCCTAAGGATGGGGAGAGGGAGAGGTTTGTAGAATTCACCAGAGACAGAGGGAGAAGAAAAAAGGTTTTCACAGACTTTGTAACGTGGGGGCCAGTTTGCACCAGTTATCTGCTGAGATGCCTGGTGTCCAGCGCTGGACTTGGTCACTGAAACATGTCCTCATCTCTGCTTTCTGCATTACTGGAGCTGGGCTGGTTTTTCTGGTCATGATGATTAGTTTTATGGCCTTTCTGGTAATGGTGGTCGGTTTTATGACCTTATCCCAAGGCAGGCTTATCTATCCCCTTAGCTCTTCAAGTCTCCCAGACCTGTCTGCAGGGCCAAGAGTGGTGGTTTAGTTTTTAACTTCACTAAAGTATCCTTTTAAGAGTTATTCAAAAATTTGCATATAGCTATACTTTATAAAATACTATTTTCATCACATTTTATAAGAAAGAAATCTGAGGGCCTCCCCGGTGGTGCAGCAGTTGAGCACTGGACTGCGAAGCTGCCTGCAGCCTCTGCAGCGCCAGTTCGATCCCCCGCCGCTAGGCGAGGGTCCCACATGGAGTGCAGACCTCTCCTGCAGCCCCCTGCTCCCCTCAGCAGTGTATTTCATCAGTCTGTCTGTTCTGTTCCCTACTCTGTCTCTGGTGAATCCTCTCACCCTCCCGTGCATCTGGCCTGTACCCCAGCTCTTGTATAAATAAATAAAAATAAAATAAAATAAAGTGTAAATTAAAAATAAGTAAATAAATAAAAGCTGCTATTGCTAGGCTCCCCATGGTCTCTCACCCACATCTGTCCAAGTATACACATCCTTCTGTGTTGCCCATTCCCTGGTACAAGTCCAAGGCCAAGCTTTTTCACATGTCTCTCTGCTCCATGTGCCTCCTCCAGGGCTTTTTGCTCTCTCCTCCCTTGTCCCAGTCTTCTGTTCAGTTTCTCCTCCCTGCCTAGCTCTTCCCTTCCTTAGGGTAGGGCAGGGATCCTGGAACCTCCCATTTCCCTGGGTACTACCCTGTTACACATTCTCCAAGGCAGTGGGCAGAACCAGAAGTTTCTTTTTTCATTATTATTTTTTTAAGATTTATTTATTATGCATACAAGAGCTGGGGTACAGGCCAGAGATGTGGGGGATGAGAGGATGCACCAGAGAGAGTGCGGAACTGAACAGGCAGATTGACTGAAATACACTGCTGAGGGGAGC